TAAGCTCTCATGGTTCCTTAATTCACACTTAGCCAATCAGTCCATAAAGGCAAATACATACATACATACATATATACATCATTGGCCATTGTGTGTAGCTGCACAACTGTAAATTTTTAGCTGCTATTTAGTTAGTCGACTCACGCTGGCCTTTCGCATGTTGCTCAAAGATAATGCTTCAAATTCAGCTGCATCTTACATTGATAAATTAATTGCTATTTGCTTATAACACATATCAATATATGTATATACACATTTGTATTTACACATTTCTTTGCTGCATGCTGCAGACACACACACACACACACACTTGCATGCATCGACTCATACATTCTTATTGCTTTTCACACTCCACAAACGCTGCTCGCTGCTCGCTGCTCGCTTTTGCACTCTGCTATGCACTCACTTTCCAGTCCACATGCACTATCTGTCTATCTCACTCTCTCACGTTCACTCGCATCGCTTTTGCTCAAACGCTGGCCGCTCTGCTTACGGTAAATCCATGTAACTGTTGTTCAGCGCATTTGTTTGCTGCTGCTGCTGCTGTTGTTGTTGTTGATTTTTTTTTACATGTTCAACTGCAAGGGAAAAAAAATAAAATATAATAAAAACAATGGAAAGTATAACGAGACGAGAAAACAAATACGTGCTGTAAACTTGTGAATTGATGCGTAATATGGAATATGCACTATTTATGAAGAACCGTATGGACTGCGCTTTAACCACACAAACAAAATAAAAACTGAATTAAGCAAATTAAATCGGGAAATGCGATCGGCATACATAAGTGAAGTTAACTATGGAAACGGCGGGCGCGTGCGGCGCCTGTCAAAGGCAAAAGCTAAACTGTATAGGGTTGCCACCCTGGTGAATGATTGCTAATTTGTGTGAATGGCAGATCCATCTACTATGAACTATCGATAGTTGAGCACAATGAAAGGAATTCAATTGAATTTTAAAGCAACATCAAAGCTGTAATTAGTTTCAATCAGCTTTGCATTACAAGCATCTTGTGTGTGTGTGTGTGTGGTTGTCGTTGTATTGTGCGTGCGTGTGGTTGTTTGTTGTATGTGTGCGCGTGTGCTCATTATTATTTTTAGATTCGTTAAATCTGCGTAAAGCTTATTAACATTTTTTTTATTCGTTTGCAATTTACTTAGACATTTTTGCAATTTTGCAACGGGAAATTAAATTCCATATTGCACACAATTATTTAGTTATTCTCTCTTAATTGGAATTCGATAGTAGGCCAACATGTTTTCCCCTAAGCTTTACACAAGTGCAGCTATTTGACTCTTATTATGTTATATATGAATATACAAATACTTAAATCGATATATTTGTGAGCATAATCGATATATAGTCTTCGATCGATGCTAGGTTATCGATCGATGTTAATATATTTACACCTACATATGCTTTGAATGTTCTGAATGAAAACAGAAATAACTAAAAACGATAGTCGATATACAATCGGTATATAATTTCCAATACATTCTATATGTGACTATTATAAATAATTTAAAAATATATTTCTTTCATACATTTTCATTTTTGTATAATTTCCTTTATATTAAATCAATGGAATTATGAGAAATAAATTTTTATCGGATGATCGAAAGAGTATTAACTGTTCGGCATTTCACTACTCTATTTTTCAAAGGGATTTTCCCCCAAGCTTTTGTATATTTGTTTTATTTATTCTTTTTTATTCCATGGTTAGCCTAGCGAAAGGGATTTGCACTTAGAAATGAGTAAAGGAAAGCGCTCGACTAACAGATGCCCTAACAGTGATTTTGCTATGTGATAGAAATATGTCAATATCAGTTTTAAATATTTGTATTCTTTTTAGATGGTATATTGATTATTAAATATATAGAATATATGATTTATCGATAAAAATAAATTATCGATCAGTTGATGGATCGATTTCGATTATATGTCGATGAGCCAACGTATACATTAGGTGATATATCGATGGAACGGCTTATAGATTAGATACATTTATAAGTATATTTATCGATTAAATGATATAACATTATGATATTGATCAAGCCTGCTGCTGTCAGTTTTATACAAATACACTAAACCTATATACCCCTTCTGTTGCTAGGCTGAAAGTGTTCAGTATATAAAAATATGTGTGATGAATAGATAGTCCACTTAAACTAAATTACTTTCCCAGCCTGCACGCACAGATACACCTGAATATATGTGAGTGTGTGTGTATGTGCATGTTAGTATTTTCCATTAGCAAAGCCTCGTATAGATGTATGGGTAACAGAGCCCACAAGACTTCTAATCAGACAACATGTGTGTCTTTTAGTGGCAAATTTTTCGTACAAATGGAGCATAGAATAAAGAAGCAAAAAATATGAATACGGAATTGCTATCAGAGGGTCTGGTTATGAGCTACCATTGTCGATGAATATAGAAGCCTTTCATGGCCATCGCAGCAAGGAGAGAAAAATGAAGAAATTTGCTTTAACTGCATTTTCTATTGCCATATATTGCCATTGTTTCGGCTCCATTTGCTACATTGAGTGTTGAACAATTTCGAAGTTTTTGCCCCTTTGATTGGATTTGATGAAACAGCATCAAAAGAAACTTTCACAATGCTCGGCTTGACTAACTAACACATTCCATATTGTTGATTTGTGGAAGTGGTCTGCTTTCGATATGTAATTCATAAATTGGTGAATTTTCCATTGTGTTTTCATCAAAATATTTTCGTTCTGTTGCCTACTTTTTGGGGCATTCAGCAATTGACCTTACGAGGATTTTTAATGAATATAAAGTAAGCAGAAAGTTGAACAAATATATTTAGAACTATAATTATCGATATGCAGCGAATATTAGTTCTATTTTGTGCATCTCAAATATTTCGTTGAGCACATATTTTGCAGGATGTCGTAATTTCTGGTTTATCAATGAAGCCAATCCCCAATTCTATTCCATATTTGTATTGCATATTCGTGTGCATATTTCGTGTAACGATAAACATTTTATCGTTTATCGATAAACACTTTATTTGCAGTAATAATCGATTATTATACATTTGTAATGTATCGGTAGCCAAAATACGATTCTATAATTTGTAACTGCAATCGATTAATGAACATTTGTAGTATATATATCGATAAGTATTGATTTCACTATTATTATTAATCAATTCTGGCGCCAGTTTAATGTATCGATTCACACTTCTTCTCATCTGTCATCAATCACAACCAATTCACAGTTGCTATATCAACTCTACTTTAAATCTGTGTGTGTGTGTTTTTTGGGAGTACTTATTAAGCCTTCATCTGACAGTGATACCAAAGAAAAGAAACAAGAATTGTTGAACATTGTTCTTAGATTACTTGCATTGGAATCTGTCTTAACAATGGTGAACAGCTGCTGCCTTTTGTCTTTTGGCTCGGCTCAATCGAAAGTTGGCTCAAAGGGCTCAACGCGTACCTCATGAAATATCCGAATTGTTCTAATTTCTGATTTCGGCCTGTTCTCTTTTGTTCTTCTGCATGACAATAATCAAAAGCAAAATGTTGTATTAAAACCATGCTCTTCCTTGTTAGCCATGTAAGCGGGCAGGCCAGGCGGACCAGGTGAGCCAGGCATACCAGATGGACCAGTCGGGTACTCAGTCAATCAACAGCTCAGTCGGCCTAGCTTTCATTTGCCTAGCACTTTGTTTGCTTCGGAGCTGAGTCGCATTCCATGCTGAATAATTTCAGCTGAAAACTTTCATCAAAGCCAACGCACGGGCACACTCTCCCCAAATCCCCCCCACTGGCCTGATGCCAGCTCCATGGACAGGATTTATGGCGTACTGAAACTTGGACCTAGCTCATGAGCTCAACAATGGCATTCACACTTGATTTGCCCAAAAGTACTTTGAAGTCACTCACAGTCGTCATTCAATTGTGTCACTGATATTCTGAAGTACTTTAAACTCGATTTGTTTTAACTGTTAGAACTTTTAGCTATTAGCTAAAGCGTCGTTTAGTCTGACGGCTAATCGAGAGGCAAACTGATGAGAATTTGTTGTGTTTTCAATTGCACTTCAGACAGACAGAGAGACAGACAGACAGTCGATTGGCCAAGCAGCAGAATGAATGTGCCACAAATCCAATATACTCATCCATTTCATGAGCGGGTATATCGGTTTTCTTGAATATGTGTACTTTCCTTCATTACATGAGCGACTATATTGGCTTTCTGAAAATCGCCTTTTACTAACGGGCCTATGTGTCTGGCGGTCTGTCTGTGTGTTCTCTTCTTATATATCTTGGCTAATCCGGAATTACTATAAATTGTTAGTGAAAAGAATTTGATCTTTTTATGGGAATGCTTCGAAAAAAAAAACAAACCCCTTGTTCATATATACATACATATATATTCATATAGAGCAGCATGATGAAAAAATATATTTTATTACCAAGCGAAAAAAAAAAAAAATATTTTTCTCAGTTTACTGAAGGAATACTTATATTAGTTTTTTTTTTTTTTTTTTTTTTTTTTGTTTAGGTTATAAAACACTTTTCATATATATTTATCTCAAATACCAAAGATCTTAAGTTATATAAAATTTATACTGCAAAATTCGTCTAAATTTCAAGCAAAACTTAGGACTTTCGTATAACTCCTTCTTATAAAATGACAAGAAATTTAAACAATATGCATATTCTACATTTTCCAATTATTAAAAACAAAAAAAAAAAAAAAAGATCCCATCGGAGCTCAGCCAAAATAAAGACTGTGTGCAAATGAATTGGGCTGTACGTTGTTTAGCTAGTCGTATGAACTATTTAGGAGGCGAGCTAATAGCAGCATTAATGTTTAAGCATTGAGTGCTTTGACTTGAAGCAGGTGTCCATAATTATTGTGAATAATATTAGGCAACGGGTCGACCCAACTGTCTGGCTTCCCTCATGTGAATTTCATGGGTCCCTGAACAGTATAAAAGCCAAGTGCGGGCTGAACACATTAAGCAATTGAGTTATTGGCTGAAATTCGTCGAGATGTTCGGGCGCAAGAAGGAGAAAAAGGAGATTTATAGCTTTGAGGATCTGACACGCTTCCCGATGGTCTTCTACAAGACGATCGGCGAGGATCTGTATTCGGAACGTGATAAGAATCTGGTGCGTCGCTATCTGCTGCGATTCTACTTGGTGTTGGGCTTTCTCAACTTCAATGCGTATGTGGTCGGCGAGATAGCGTACTTCATCGTCCACATATCGTCGACGACAACTCTGCTGGAGGCGACCGCTGTGGCGCCCTGCATCGGCTTCAGTTTCATGTCCGACTTCAAGCAGTTCGGCTTGACGGTGAATCGAAAGATCTTGGTCAAGCTGCTGGACGATCTGAGCGAGATCTTTCCACTCACCAAGCAGCAGCAGGAGGCCTACAATGTGGCCTACTACGACAAGCACATGAATCGCGTCATGTGGCTATTCACGATACTCTGCATGACGTACACCTCCTCGTTCAGCTTCTATCCGGCAATCAAATCGACCATCAAATACTATTTCATGGGCTCTGAGATATTTGAGCGCAATTACGGCTTTCACATACTCTTTCCCTATGACGCTGAAACGGACATCACCATCTATTGGATCTCCTACTGGGGCTTGGCCCATTGCGCCTACGTCGCCGGCGTCTCCTACGTATGCGTCGACCTACTGCTCATCACCACGATCACCCAGCTGACAATGCACTTCAACTACATGGCCGACACGCTGTTGGCCTACAATGGCGACGATCACACCGACGAGGAGAACCTGAAGTTTGCCCAAAATCTTGTGGTTTATCATTCGCGTGCCTTGGAGTAAGATATTCGATTTTGATCTATAGATAATCTAGGGAGACGAGATAATCTAGAGTCTTTAGCGATAATCTTCATAGAGAGTATTAATAGATCTCTTTATAACTCTGGGAACTGGAAGTCCCCAGTTGTTTGTATATCCATAGTTTAGATCCAGGAAGTTATCATTAAATTTGTATCTTCAAACCAATTTTTAAGAGCTGTATAAGTATATATGTATATAAAATATCGAAATGTCTCCTTCAGCAAATTTAGTCAGCACAGCTCTTATTTTTCTGAATTCCTATGATTTTTTTTTTCTATTTTACTCTGCTTTGAAGGACAAATAGACGACACCAGAGAAAAAATGTTGTCCTGCTGTGATTTTAAACATTATCTAAACTTTCTTTAGCTCTCCTATTCTCTGGGCTCTAGCTTGATATTTTACATTGAATTAAGATATACATATGTATTATGAAACAGAACAAAAATTTAATATTTGATTAATATGTATAATCTATTTCAGCTTTAATAATAAGATGCTAGAATCAATATAGGAATAATATATGATACAATATAATAATATTATTAAGTTCCATTTTAAGCTAATCAAATTGTGATTTCTGTTTATTTCGCTGCAGTCTCAGTGAGGAGGTGAACAACATCTTTAGCTTTACGATTCTGTGGAACTTTATAGCCGCCTCTCTGGTGATTTGCTTTGCTGGCTTTCAAATAACGGCCTCGAATGTGGAGGATATTGTGCTGTATTTCATTTTCTTCTCGGCATCGCTGGTCCAGGTGTTTGTGGTGTGCTACTATGGGGACGAGATGATCTCATCGGTGAGTACTATATATATATATATATAGATGTATATTGGCTAATTCTTCTGATTCTGTGGCAGAGCTCACGCATTGGGCATTCGGCCTTCAACCATAACTGGCTGTCCTGCGACTCCAAGTATAAGCAGATTATGCGCTATATCATAATGCGCAGCCAGAAGCCAGCCTCGATACGGCCGCCCACCTTTCCGCCCATCTCGTTCAACACGTTCATGAAGGTAATCAGCATGTCGTATCAGTTCTTCGCACTGCTGCGCACCACGTACTACGGCTGAATGAGCTCTGATGCTGATGATGATCAACTGTAGCCAATTTCACGGATTGCCATTGCCCGATAACAAATTGTGCAGCTGCTTAAACACGCTAATTAATTATTCTAATTGAGTTGCAGTTGCTTCAGTAAGCAAACTTTTTTCATTTATTAAATCACTGCAATAGAAACTTTGACTTTTTCTTTCACTTTGTCTTTGACTTTGACTTTGACTATTCTCAATGCTTTAATCTGTTCTCTTCATTGTTTCCCATGGCTTGCTTTTTAGTTAACTCTTTCTCTCTTTCGTAGCTCTAGACTGTTTGTTTTTTCGACTCAATTATATCAGCTTATAGGTGAAGTTCTTATATATATATATGTGCAGTGTATACAGTATAAACCGGTCCCTTGAGGCGTCGTAATACCCGGAAGATATATAGCCGTATAAGTTTTCCCATATAAGTCGTTATAACCGGATTCTACTCTATGTATGTATAGATCTGTATAGCGCATGTATATCTCTATCTTTCTCTTTTTATATGGGAATGTTTATATGTTTTGCTTACTGTTTCTTTCTCTCTTTACTTTATATTCTCTTTATTGCCTTGTTCTTTCTCTCGCTCTCGCTCGCTCTCCCTCTCTCTCTCTGCCTCCCCCTCTCTCTCACTCCCCCATTTTCCTCTCTCTTCTGCCCTCTCGTTCCCTTTTTCTCTCTCTCTCTCTCTCTCTCTTACTATCTCAATCACCCTCTGTATCTTTCCCGTTCCCTCTCACTTTCCATGCCAACAGCTCATTCTCATCTCCCATTCTCTGTCGTCTCCTTCGATGTAATTAAATTTGATTACACACGCAATTAGCTATGTAACTATTTGATAACAATTAATATGTTAATCGTCTGTTAATCAATTTATTTAATTGCTCGGCAAATTAAATGTGCAACAATTTGCTAATGGAAGCGTTTATTGACATCCCTTTCATAAGCGATTTTGATTCTATTGTCGTGTATCAAGTGCCTTGTATATATATATATATATATATATATGTGTGTATGTGTGAAATAGATTCAACTTATTTGAAGAGGAGGACAGCTTGAAGTATGCATACTTCAATGAGTTGACTTCATTTATTGTTGTAACCTTTAATTATTATAATTTTTTTAAATTTCATATTATTGGTATGCGTAACATGCTTGACTTACCTACAAACATAACTGTACATATATGAACATATATTTGCACATTGTCATTAACAAATGCCCACATTTGTTAAAATCGATACAAGTCTTTTGTGTCACTCATACTCTCATTGTCACTCTATCTTTTACACTTTTGTCATCTCCCCTCTCTCTCTCTCTATCGATGTCTTACATTCGTCTCATCTCTCGCTCTCCAGCTCTATCTTTTTTCCCTGTTCCTCCCTCTATCTCTTATACTCTTGGCATCTCTCCGTCTCCATCTTCTCTCTCGCTCTCTATTTTGATCTCTGTTGCTTTTTGTCATTCTCTCTTATGGGTCAGTTTTAATCAAAATCTTATCTAAAGTTCCACTTGTCTCATGCTGTAACACGCTTAGGCAAATTCGCAACAAATAATGCCTTCATCAAAGCTCCAAGCGAGGCACGACTACAAAAATACCCTGTAGCTACTAAGATTTGCTGATTATTGTCATTAATTTTATTTATTTATTTTTAATTTTTAATTTTATTTATTTATTATTATTATTCCAAGAAATATGTATGTATATCATAAAGACTTGCATAGCTTTATAAGTGAGAAGAGAATAGCGCCTGGAGTTGTCCAAAATGCCAACAAGTTGAGGACTAAAGCAGGTCATATCAAATTAGTCTAAGCTGATTCAAAATTGTTTCATTATTTTCACACATGTGTATACTAAAACAAGTAAGAAGGCTCCAGTCGAGACTGCTCGACTAGGAGATACCCTGAACCCTCCAAGCTGATATTCTAATCATTCTGGACTTCTTGTATGCACACATACATAAACATGCACTTATAAGCACGCGCTCTGCTAACTGCGCAGTAAGCAGCAGCTGCGCTTGGGCTGCGCTGCAATGTGGGCAATATTACGAGAATTTATTTGTTGAATAATTTCTTTTGTAGACATACAATCTTAATGAAACTTTCAGAGCGTAATCATATGATAAAAGTGTGTGTACATTCTAAAGCACAAGTCTCTAGTACTTGAAATGCGTTTTTTACAAATTGGGGGCGAAGGGGGCGTGGTATCCAAAATCTGTAAATTACAAAATCTTTGTATCCATTAACTCTATATACAACGCAAATTTGAAGTCTCCAGGCTTAAAAGTGTTCAAACTAGGCTGAAAAAACAATGTCGATTTTTCGATTATTCTCAATAAAAAAGTTATCGGATGAGTTATCGAAAAAATAAAGCAAACTTGTACTGCCTATGGTATACACGAGTATGCATGCCAAATTTCAGCTCTCTAGCTCTTATATCTTCTGAGATCCTTTTGCTCATACGGACGGACGGACGGACGGACGGACGGACGGACGGACGGACAGACGGACAGGGCTATATCGACTCAGCTCGTCGTCCTGATCAAGAATATATATACTTTATGGGGTCTGCGATGATTCCTTCTGCCTGTTACATACTTTTCACAAAACCATTATACCCTGATTTCCCATTTTCAATGGGTTCAGGGTATAATAAATAAGAATCAACTTTTAAATTTTTTAATGGATTACAATTCGATTGCCCAATGCTGTACTGTAAATGAGAATTGCAAAGAAAGGCACAAAATGACTTAATCAAATATTATTTAAATTGCAGAGAATCAAGAGTTCGAAGCCTAACAGTATTTCTATATGGGCCAACTGTGATGAGAGTAATTTAGCTCGTGCAAATATCAAGGCTGAGTCTGTGATTTAGCCCAGATATTTGTGGAAGAATGGGGAGGGGGGCAATGGCTTTGGCATTCATTACACGACTCATAGAGCAACTCATCATCAAATTTGAAATTCAAAATGAAACCTATTCGGGGACACGTTAACAGGGCTCATTTAAAATTTGAAATTATTGCTGGGCTGGTTCGTTCGTTCGTTCGTTCGGTGTTTCGAAACCAAA